GAGTAATGAAATCAATATTGAATGTTGATTCGACTCTTGTGAAACAAATCCAATCAAGTATGTCTTTTGATCCTCTTATTTATAATATCAAGAATCCTTCTTCTGAGTTCCAATATACTTCTAAGTTTGAGTTCAAAAACAACCTACTCTATTTTGAAGGTCGATTATATATTCCAAAAGGAAAAGCACGATTATTTGTTCTTCAAGCACATCATGACTTTCCAACAGTAGGAAACTTTAGATACAACAAGACTTTGAAACTTATATCCAAAGATTTTTGGTGGCTACAAATGTGGAAGGATGTGAAAGACTTTGTTCAGTCATGCAACATTTATTGAAGATTAAAAACTCCTTGTCATCAACCTTACGGACTTCTTCAACTATTATCTATTCCAAAACAACCATGGTCTTTTGTTTCTATGGATTTTATCAGAGATCTTCCAATCTCAGGTTTTTATGCCTCTATATTTGTAATAGTAGATCGTTTTACTAAGATGGCATATTTTGTACCATATACAAAATCTATCACAAGTGAAGAAACAACTAAACTCTTTCTTAACAATATCTATCACTATCATGGATTATCTAAGGATATTATATCAAATAGGAGAACTCAGTTTGTATCAAGATTTTGGCGGACTCTTTTCAAGATTCTAAAAGTAGATATAAAACTATCTTCAACATTCCATCCTCAAATTAATGGACAAACAAAGCATATTAATCAAGTTTTGGAGTAGTATTTAAGATGTACCATCAACTACAAATAAGATGATTGGTTAATTATTTTACCATTAATAGAATTTAATTATAATAAAAAAGTAAATTTTTCTACAAAATAAACATCTTTCTTTGCCAATTATGATTATCATCCACGACTTCATATTTTTGACTTTTCAAAAGCTAATAATTCTACAACAAAAGATTTGGCAAATCATTTGTCAAATCTACATGCAACAATGAAGGCACAATTAAAAAAAGTTCAAGAACAACAAAAGATTAATGCGGATGTCTATCGAAAGGAAAAACCACCATTCTACATGGGTGACAAGGTATAGTTACTTCATCGCAATATCAAGACCAATTATCCTTGTGATAAGTTGGACTATCATAGGCTTGAACCATTTTCTATTTCTATACAAATCAATCTATTTGCATATTGTTTACACTTATCGAAGTCAATGAAAACCCATCGAGTATTCCACATGTCTCTTCTTGAAGCATATAAGACAATAGACATATTAAGAAGAAGACAAGCTCGACCTCCTCCTAGAAAAGTGGATAATAATAAAGAGTTTGAAGTAGAAGAAGTCTTAGATTTAAGGCGACGCCAAAATAAATAGGAATAACTTATCCATTACCACGGATATGATATTAGTAAATGTACATGGAAGCCAATAAAGAATCTTACAAATGTAATAAAGGTGGTGGAGGCTTTTCATTGATAACATCCATCAAAATCAAGATGAAAATCTTTCATATAAAAAAAATAAGATCTAAGCAAGATAACATTCGACTTTCAATCCTAGTTTGTAGCTTCTTTGTAGTTGTGACGTTGAAGACATGAAAAACCAACAACCAGCAGTTTCGACTGAAGAGCCTTCGTTTGCTGACCTATTGGACAAAACATTGCAATTGTCACAACCTTCAAGATGACACAATCAAAATGAATATCCTTAAGAACAACATATTTTTTCTCGAATAGATGGCAAGATACAACACATTTGGTATCACGACCTTAGAAGAAACTCTCGATGTTTGGTAATTTTATTAGAGATGGGAACAACTCCTAACGGTGTTACAAATATTTTATTTGAAGGAAGTTATGAAGGCCTCAACAACAATAAAATATCATGGTGGTCTTTTCGCCTTGGTATGGAATAGTATTGATGGTTGAAAGGCCCTATCAACCATCTTCGAAGAGAACAAAGATCTGAGTATGTGGCAAATATAATTTGTTGCATCATAGATTTCTTCAACATATGATGACTACTCCTTGTAGAACTCATTCTTAGAAGGAGACGTAATGTCATGGACATATACATGTAAGCAAGTAATAACCTATATAAATAAGTAGAAATAAGTGGAAGTATGTAAAAGTAAGTTAATTCTATAATAACTTTTATACAAGCTTCTTAGAAGCTTTATAGATACTGCTTTGACTTTATAGGTATCTATAATTGATTTTTTGGATTAGAAAAGTGGTCAACAAGTTGGCCATGTGCCATACATATTTTTAGCTTGAAGACCAAGTTAATTATGTATGCCACACATAGAAAAAGTTGCCTTGTAAGTCAAGGCATGTGTCCTACAAAGTTAACACATATTGGAGGTTGTATAGAATATCACTATGTAGTCCTTATTTGGATAGTATATATAGAGACAAGAGTGAAGCCTTCTTCACTCTCATCAATTCCTTTCTTGCTTCTAATCTAGTTTCAAGAGTCTCATGTTTCCTTGTCTTTTGGCAATAAACCATTCCAGTTTCTTTTTAATATATGTACTTCCTTATTTCTATTTTGTTATTCTTTCTTTGACATGGATTTCATTGGTTTATGCATCAACTTTTAGTTCATGTCATTGACATAAGCACTACAAGTATTATCTATGAAATACTTCATTATTAGATGATTAGTTTACAATCTCTTTTTTTTCATTCTTCAACACCAAGGACAATGTTTATAGATAAATGAGATTGAACATGGATTATCATTTATTTGATGTTATATTAATAGAAAATATGAAGAATGTGATCTATAATCATATACTTGTAATGTATTATATACCATAATTGTCATTATAATAATTTTATTATAAATTATTTACTTTAATATTAAATTGTTCATTTGTTTCTATATCTATTGGAAGAAGCAAGTAAGAAAAATTTATAGCAATATGTATATAAAGATATATAATTTTATATATTTTTTTCAAAAATATTATTGAAATATCTTTATTTATATTTTATTTTTATATTAAAATTATATTTGATAAATGTAATTATAATCTTTTATTTTGAAGATTTTAATTTTTATTAAGAAAATAATTATTAATATTGCAATTATATATCAAAATAAATATATAATTTATATTATTTTCTACCTCATCAATGATGCGTTTAATTTTTTTTCTTAAAATATTATTTGTATTGTAATCTTTTTATCAAATAATTTATTTTATTTCATTTTATATTTTCTTAAAAATTTATGTGTTAATAATGTAATAAGTAGAATTTTAAGTTATTTTAGTAGTAATAGATATAAAATAACTTCATTTATAATAATACCAATTTATAATATTAAATAATATCTTTTTTAGAGATTTTAGTAATTTTTAATATATTACTAAAAATAGAAATTTCTTTTAAAGAATAAAATAAAATAAATTCATGATTAAATTTTATTTTTATTTTATGATAATTCAAAGAGAGATATATTTTTTAAATGTAATCAGAGTTTTACTTTCAATGATTTTTGGATTTTAGATTTTTGTAAGTAAATAGAATAGTAGGGTTTTCATAAAAGTATTAAAAAAGATATGATTTCTTAAGCATTTTTAAACAATAAATAAAATTATAAATTCTATAAAATACTATATATCTATATAAATGATACAATATAAACAAGTAGTATTATCAAATATAGTTTAGTTACAAAATAAAGTAATATAAAATAAATATTTATTGTGCTAATATATAGCATGTGCATAATTAAATATGCATATCAATTATAAAATTTTGATAGTAAAAATAAGAATACAAATATAATATTTAATATCAAAAAATATGACTAATTTATTGTATGAATGACAAAGAATTTGAAATCAAAAATAATTCTAAAAATAGATTTGTTTATTATAAAATTAAAAAGATATAATATATTTAAAGTTAATCTTAATCTCAACCTTTCAAAAGTATTGAAGAATAAAAAAAAATCATTAGAGCATAATAAAAGTTTTGAAGTATAATATGACATATTTATCAATATAAAAAATACAAAATACAAAAAATAACAAAACATTTTTTAATTTTAGCTAAGAGAGCATAGTCTAAATAATTTTTATTGTTAAGTATACTTGTTGGTTTAGAAGGCACTCTAATGACTTCGAGATTTAATAATAGAAACAATGATTAGATTAACATATCCTAAGTTGCTACATGCATATGATAAATTATTATATACACACCCAAGAAAAATAGAGGTCTTTAATTGGTTAATTATTCTTAAATAGAGCTTATCACCTATGATAGCTATAGAATGCTCAAAGGGGTGGAAGTCCCTATGTGATAGTCTAGCTAGCTGATTAGCAAGTATGAAGAAAAGGCAACATCTCTATGAGAGTTTGTGGAGGCAATGAATTTTGAATGAACCTTGTAATTTTGTAATCTCTATGTTCTTTTTCAAATTCCTAGACTTGCATTTTGTGTGTATCTCTTTTGGTGTCTCTCACTTCTTTCCTTTCCCAACTCTCTTGTTCTCTATTTTCTTGTCTGACATTCTTGTTCCTTCCTTCTCTTTCATAATGTTCTCATTCTTGTTCTCTCCTTCTCTTTCATAATGAGCCTTCTCCCACCAGACTTAAAAAAATGTACAACTCATGGAAAGAGCTGCTCAAAGACATCCAAACCTATTTATTCATACAAACAATTGTTGCTTCCCTGACCCTTGCCGTCATCACAAATGTAATGCTCTACACAATAACAACCAACTAATTAGAGGCCACCATTTTTATTGAATGTGCATATAGCAGTTTGGAATGTGTGTGTTACAACTTGGACTGTGTGCTTGTAGCCTGAGTCTAGAAACAATCACATATGCAATGCAACAAGGTGTCAAATCCCATCGGAGGGCGGGGAGGTGGTACGCACTTTCACTTTCTCGTATGCTTCTAGCCTGCGCGTGTCTGGAAGGCTGCTTATCTTTGCTTTGTTGCTGTTACTGGTGTAACTAGGGACCACTTTGGAGAATGAGGGGAGTGACTTTTGAAACACAAAGAGGTTTAGGGCTGCTTGGTAGAGTCATGGAATCGGTTAAAGTTGCTCTTGGAATAGCATTCCAAACGGCAACTGGGTGCTTCGTATGTTGTGGCCACTGCGCCCCTTACTAGTATCGTTACTAAGTGGTGACATACTATTCCAACAAACAAAACCAAAACTAGGAAAGAGTAACTGAAGTAGCGACGCCCTGCCGCCACTCTTCGGCACACACTTCGACAGGAGGCGTAATGTTCATTATGGATGGTTACGAAATACACATCTTGTGAAAAACATTGTATCCGCCAAGCTGATAGTACTTCAACCTGATCCATCTTCCTTAATAGGTCGAAGAGGTATCTACGCTTCATTACGCATTGCAAGGCAGTCATCCACAACCAGCGTAAACATGGTTGGTATGTGTGTGTTTGAATGTGTATATATAGATATATGTAAGGAAATATAATTGTATATATTTGCACCCATGCAAAAATCTCGCAACAAACTTCTAAGATACCGATTCGTAACCCTACCATTCATCAACTCATACCTATCGAATTCTACCTGAAATCTTGCGTAATTAACCCTCATTCTATAATGCTCCTCGTTAAACAATCTCGTGGGTCTCTAAATGCATAAACACCGCAGCACGGACCTCGTTGCGTGCTACGGAATTGATGACTTCACGACAACCACGCTTTGGCAGGATCCGTTGAACTTCAGACAATACAGTGACAAGAGCAGACAGGAGAAGAGTCAGCAAAGATATAAGCTCTTAACGATGGCGATGGTGGCAGGTGCTAGTCTCGTTTCCGGAAATTTGTTGTAGTCAACGGGTTTCTCAAGATGTCTTTCGCAATGTTATTTAAGATCGTTGCAAATGCCATTCACGGCACAAAATATTTTTCACGAGTACGACGATGTTGCCTGCATTCATCGTGGTTCGTAACCCTAAAACCACCAACTTTGACAGGGAAGAGGTTTTCGATCTGCACTGATTTTTCCCTCTATTTATAGAATATGAATCAACTATAACAATAAATATATGGGGGTTGGATGAGATGATGTAGGAAAGTAAATGAAGGCTAAGAGATGTTCATATTGTGACACAAATTGTCTAGTGCCGGACAAAAAACAGACCAAAAAATAGAAAAAAAATGTGTACTAATTCATTGAAGGGTTTATGAAGTTAACGAAATATTCAAAATCTAAAATTTGAGAGCAAATGACAATATGAAGTGCAACAGATCAAATAAAAATAAAAATAGCATACACAAAACATTTGGTGGTACTTTTGAAGACATGTACTGTTGGTAGAGGGGGAAAAAAAAAAAAAAAAAAAAAAAAAGAGAGAGAGAGAGAGAGAGAAAGAAAGAAAGAAAGAAAGAAAGAAAGAAACACACACACACACACAGACACACACCAGGGAGTTATTCAAGCATTTTGGCTTGCATGGAAACCATACAGCTGAAAAGCTTGCAGAGAAACTATGACAAAGACAGTTATAAAAAATATTGTATGATTCCATCACACAGTATTATTCCTTTGAATGAGATTGACATTGATTCAAATGCTCCACAAAATTTATTGACTGAAGGCGGACCATGTGATTTGCAATTTATCAAGTCCAATTTGTCTCAATTAGAAAACAAGGAAAGGAAGAAACTCACAACTGCAAATGTTGAGGAGTTAATTTATGCGTTACAAAAAGGAAGTAGTCGCTGTAAAATTGAAGCTGCCATAACTATTAGATTTTTAGTAGCATCATACGATAATTTTCAATCAATACTAATTGAAGCTGAGGGTGTAGGTCCTTTAGTTGATCTTCTCAAATATAAAGCAGAGGAGTCTCATTGGCCTTTGGAGTTAAGGGAAAAAACATCTATTACAGTCCAAGCAGAAGCAGCTCTTGCAATAGCTAGTTTGTGTGCCAACAATGATAATATGAAAGATGTTATTGGTGCTGCTGGGGCTATTCCATTACTTTGCGATCTTATATGGTAAGATATCAAAAACCAAGACATGTCCTTTCAAAAATTAAATATTATGTAAAGACATTTGAAAAGTTATGAGTGCTTGTGCATATATATATATATATATATATATATAATGTAATTCTTCAAGTTACATAATAGAGTTATTGAGTTATTCAATAATTTTTCATAAACATCTATTAGTATCGATTTTTACTTTTGTAAACACAACACTTTTCTTGTTTAATGTAGTTTCAATGAACGTAATCACAATCCAATGGATACTTTGAATCACATTAGCAAAGATATGATCCCATTTTTTGCTCTTGCACAAGATGCTAGTGTTGGAGCTCTTTTATGTCTTTCAACAGGTGAAAAAAACAAAGCAGTGTTAAGTGCTACACCTGCCATACTTCCAATATTAATTTGCATGATTGACCAGGGAACAAATTTTGGAAGGTGACTACACTTTGAAAACCCTCAAAAATAATATTACGTTGCTACAAATTTTTAATAGGGTAATTTTTATTTCATAAATTTTATTTTATTTCATTATTTGGATAAGTAGTGAATAATTTCAATATTAAACTATAAATATATATATTCTAAGTCATCAAATTATGTTTTTTCTTTGTATTTCTCAATAATTCTTATTAGTCTTGTACGAAAAAGATACATTTTGCAGATTATTTTATTATTCAATTCTTTTGATTTTATAATTTAATGTAGTTATTGTATAATATATACATTTTTAATAGGATAGCTGCTGCAAACGTGATTGCTAATTTGGCAATTGGAAAGCATGGTAATTACAACCAACTCATCTTAGGACAAGAAGCAGGAGCTATCAATCCATTATTGCATTTACTCAAGCATAGTTCTTCTAAAGCTAAAAAAATTGCAATCGAAGCACTTGAAAATTTAGCATTGTGTAATTGGAATAGAAAAAGAAAGTTACAAGAAAGCAGTATTCAATACTTGATGCAAACACAAGAACACAAAAAATTAATTGAGCCTGAGACAACAAAAGGTATTAACTTAAAGACTTGGAAACTGCCTATCCCATCTTTACTTATTCCACCACAAAGTGAAACAAGATCATTTGAAATATGTACAAATGGATATGAAAAGGATCTGAAAAACAAAACTGAAGAATCCTGTAAAACTATAGAATATGAAAACTCCATGTTTACAAACAAAGATGATGTGATAGATTCAACTGGGTTTTCAATCAGAGAAGAGGACTTGTACCATTTAAATAATCATATCTATGACAATTTGGAAGTTGCAGAAGATTCATCTTTACTGCAACAACACAATTCAAAAATTGAATCTCTTGTATTGGGAAGTAATTTTTTTTCTTCTTTTGATCTTACTTCAACAGTTGCACCTCCATTAGTAGGACAACCTTCTGTTCAAGTTGATGCCATGATGCAAAACATGAAACAACCTTTACCACCACTATTAAATATCAAGAGAATGAAAATGACCATAAATGATAGCAATGATTGTCATTCACAATCACAACCCAAAGTAAACAATTCAATCACCAATTCGAAAGAACTTGAATTTAACCATCAAAACACCATCAATTCTATGCAAACTCATTACTTGGATTCAAATCAACAAAATAAAACAAAACTCACTCCTTGCAACATTGACAAAGAACCAGTCAACCAACTAAAGGAGACCTTTTCATTTAACAAAGAATTCATGTTTCCAAAAGAAAATGAGGACCAACAACACAAGCAATGTCTTGATGTGGACAATCAACTTGTTGCCAGCAGCATTGTTGCCTTAGTGAGTGCACTATCTATCCCAAATCCAAGTGCTCAAGAATTTGCTGTATTGGCATTAATGCTACTTGCCTCTCAAGGAGGATTTGAAGTTAAAACAGCAATAGCTGACATTGGTAAGAGCTTTTAACTCAACCCCCTCCCATTGAACATCAGAACAAAGAAACACAAATGCTCACATACAAACAAACAAACAAAAAAAACAAACAAACAAACAAACAAACAAAAAACATGTTGATTCATCCATGTAGGTGCCATTCCCCTGCTGCTGAATATGGTGGACTCATCGCCATATCCCATGATAAGAGAGTCAGCGGCGGCGGCCATAGCCAAGTTGGTGGCGAGCCATCCGGGCAACAGAGCGCAGGTAATAAGAGGCGGCGGCGTCCAAGCCATGGTGACCATGGCTCGCTGGGCCACCACGCTGCCGCAGGACGCCGCGTCCGCTTCCGAGCCGAACGGCAGAGCGAACATCCAAGCCGCGGCGCTGGCGGCGGTGCTGAACCTGGGCAACCTGCAAGAGCGGCACAGCAACCAGCTGGGCCTGCACGCCGGGCTGCCCTTGTCACTCCGCATGCTGGAGAGCGACGACCCTCGCGACGCCGCGGCCAGTGCCGCGGCGCTGCACACGCTCCGCGCCTCGCTCGCCTCCGCTGCGGATTGCATGCGCGCTGCTGCTCGGCCCTGGCTGCACGCTGCCCCCGGCAGCGTCTCCTCCCACATGCTCTCTGCGCTCCTGTGCCTCGCCCGCAGCACCTCTAGGTGCTGTCGAGCCGCTGCCATTGATGCGCTGATTGGGCTGAAGCACCCCGTGGGTGGTGCTTCGATGGGTTCCTCCCGGGTGGATACAGAGGAAGCTGCTCTTCGAGACTGCGATTCTGCGGAGACTGCTCGGCTTGACGGTGTCTACATTCTCTCTACTATGTTGGGTTCGTGTCCCAGTTTTGCGCGAGAGAATGTTACTTCCGCGTTTGCGTATGCCATGGCAAGTGACAAACTCAGTGTTTGTGTCGTGGATGAAGAACTTATAATTCAGAAGCTTATGATGTATGTGACTTACGGTACTTTCTTTTCTTTTACTTTTTTCTTTGTGTTGTGAAAAATAGTATTATTTCTGTTGATCTTTTCCTGGTCATACGTATATTACACAATGTGTTATCGACATGCTCTGATTTGAAGAGTGGAAAAGTTGAGATAACGAAACAATATCCACAACTGTCTTTTTTTTAATATTCTACGAGTCTAGGATCTTGGAGGAAGGACCGACCATCGCCACACGAGTGTCGGCAGCAGCCTCGATAGCGACCATCGGAGCTCGGAAGAAAAGGCTCAACGCCCTTTCGAAAGAGAACATTCTGTTGCTGGTGAAAATTCTGGTTTCAAATGAATCGAAAATCAACCAGTGGGAAATGCATTTATTTGATGATCCAAACAAAACTAACAACAGTCGGGATAATTTCTCGTTGCCGCATGTTCTGCTTCGTGAACACATCATCGCCATCGTCGTTTATATCGCTCTCTCAGGAGATTATAGAAAACAACTTCTCATTGATGTTGGAATGGCACCTATTTTGGTTGGAGTCCTGCGAGTGAGTTCGTCCTTTATCGTCTAGTATTAGTATTGATAATTAATCCTGTTTCTATCCACTTCACTTTTCTTCGAAGTATATTATTCCGTGAATTATAGACATGTATTTACGAATGTGACTTTATCCAACAGAAATGTCTATTTGAGTCACACACGCAAGGATCGTGGCAATATATGCAATTGACTTCGGACAATAATAGAAGAATGTGTGGGGTTCCTCCATACCTTCATGTCACACAAGAATTCGCGACAATGGGACTTATCATGTTGGCGGATAAGAGCATTGAAACAACTGAGAAAATTGTGGAATCTGGCGGTGTTTTTCTTTTGGTGAAAATGTTGTCGGCTACGACGGGATGCCAAGAAAAACTTGGTGCTAATTGGAGCGAGGTACACAATTTAATTATAATTATTTTCATTTTTAAAAAAAATCAAACAAATCATTCCGAAGTGTATTAATTGCAGAACAATTGACAATTTAAGTATATTTTAAAGGTATAATTCATTAACCAACTATATGCAGATAGGTTGAATAGGCTCTTGATAAATACTTCATACTTGTTTACAATACATGTTATATTTTTATTAATAAATTTGTTTCATTTTGATAGATGGCCGCTGCAGCGCTACTGACAATGGCAGGAAGCCAAAATGCCCGGGAAGAAATAGTCCGTGTTGGTGGTGTCTCTTCTCTTGTTCAAGTGCTCAAAGGTGAAGGCGGAGCATGTGGGTTTTCATTTACAGGTATTTCACAAATTTCTAAAACTGAAGATCTTGTTTCTACACGATATATGTAAATGTACATGTACAAATATTTGTGTATGCGCGAATGCTAAGACAGGCTCTATGCTCAACTCATTTAATTGTCATGATATTGTATTGAAAATCAACAGGCTTGGCAGCAATGGCACAGCTCATAGGAGTACTGGGACTCAACAATGAAGAAACCAAAGCTCGCATGGCTGAAGAAGGAGCGGTAAAATGTTTAGTCGAAATCTTAACGGGAGGAAGCAAGTGTTACCTTCAACCATCCACAGTCACCAACAACGAACACAACCTAGAATACGTAGCTCTCACCCAAGAAGCAGCAGCAGCTGCACTTGCAACGGTAGTTCTACACTGTCAACCCAACGCTGAGGCAGCGGTCCAAGCTGGCGCCATCGAGCCCCTGGTGAAGCTACTGGGACCACCAATCGCTTCATGCGACCACCCGACATTCAACTCTGAAACTCACGCGCTTCTACCTTCAACATACAAAGCCATGAGAAGCAAAATCAGCCTCGCAGGAAACAAACTGGCAGCAGCGAACGGCGCCGCGAAACTGGCATCGGAACTGGGCGACTCAACCATGAACACCAGCGAGGATAACTTTGCCACTAGGGCTAGCATTGGAGGACCCTTGGCAGCCATGGCGGCATTGGGCAACATGGTTTCGTGCTATCCTCCGTGTTGGCGAGAGATCGTGGATACCGGAGCGGCGCCGAGGCTCGCAAATCTGCTCAGTGGCGGTAGCTCTGAACTGAACACGGGACTATCGCAGGCTGAGGCTGATTCGCATGAGACTTGTGCGACCAAAACTCAAGAGAGCGCGGCTCTTGTTCTGGATCTGCTTATAGATTGTGAGGAAATTCATCGCTCGGCGTAAATTTTCTCTGCAACTGAGACGCCGACGACGACGAGGAGGTCTCGAAAACAAGCTCCGCGTCCAAATGGATGAACGATGTCTTCTTCATCGACAACGCGGTAGATGATATAATTTTCATTCGTTAGTGTATTTCTCTTATGTTCCTTGCTTTTAGGGCATTGAAGAGCTTCTTTTTTTTTTACATAAAAACTAGAAGCATAACTTCTTGCGGTTATGGTAGAAAGAAAATTAGATTTAAGATGTGTATGTATATATATTCATGTATGTATATATATTCATGTATGTATATATATTCATGTATGTATTTTAAATGATTAAATTGATTATGTTTGAAATAATGCTGGTTTCTATTGTAAATTGGACAACATGAAACACATGATTATTTATTTATATACTTATTTTTGTTTCTTTGGTTTGGTTCTAGAGATGAGTGTTACATTATATAAACTTATGGGTAATGTCATAATGTTTACAATCCGTTTTGGAATTTTTATTTCATGACGAGATGGATTGTTACAAGCAAATATATGTGTTTAAGTTTTGGAATTTTGAAGAGTAGTTCAAAAAATGTCAAGAATTTTATGGAAAATATTTTGAATGAGAATCTATGATATTTTTTATTTGATCGCCTTAAAATAATTTTAAGTATATATTTATTGTCATTCAGAGACTTCATATATATATATATATATATATATATATATATAATACTGTTTTAAACGAATTGGGATTTGATCAAATTTAAACACATCTGTATTATTTTTGTATCCAATACCAAAGGGGTTTCTTTCTAGTATATGTTTGAATTTAAATGTATATATATATATATATATATATATATGTGTGTGTGTGTGTGTATACACATACATGTACTAAACTTTGTTCCAAGAACGTAATTTTATGCCTTTTACATCTAAAAAAACAAAAAAAATATATGTATGTAAGTATGTAAAAAACTAGAAATAATAATAAAACTTTAATCTTTAACAATTAATTGTTATTGTGAAGTACTAGATTACTTTTTCAGCGTTATAAATCTCTTATTTAGATTTTTCACATAATAGATTAATGTAATATAATTTATTTTAATTTATAAGAATTTCAATCTCTTGTCATATCATATCTAAAAATAATTAAAGGACGTATAAAAACTAAAATCCATATTGTAATTGAAAATTTGTACTTTTCATAACTTGAACCACTTTTGTACTCATAAATAAAAACTATACCTGGAGTTAATGTGATATATATATATATATATATATATACATATATACATACATACTACAAATCTTGTTTTGTAATAAAATTCAAATAGGGTATCTAATTGAAAATATCCTCTTTTTCTCTTTCATTTCTATTCTCTCACTCTCAAGTTAAAGAAGTTGCCTTTTATCATGGTTTTTTCTTTTAGTTGTTGTTATCATTTTTTTAGTTGTAAACTTTTATTGAATCATTGCAAAATTCCCTAAATCCCTTTTTGCAATAACAAGTTATTTTGCATAAAATTAAAAACTTTTTACTTTATTGTATAGGTCTTTATACATACATATATACATGCATACATCAAACCAACTTAAATATAAATAAAGTAAATCATAAAATTTACTTTCAAAAAAATATCTATACATGTTATTTTTTAATTACAAATAATTTTGAAAATAAAAATTCTATATATATATATATATAATTTTAAACTTTTACTAAAGATATCAATTAACAATCTTGTAAGTAAACTAAAAACAAGATCCAAGTAGTATTGAAATAATTTGAAATTCTATTAATATATACAATGTATGTATACATATGATGCAGAACTGAACCGGAAATAGAAATTATATACCTCACAATTACTGCATGATTTTAGTTTCATATAATATGTGATATTAAACAGAATTATGTTTATAAAAATAATTATTTTGCCAGGAGCATTTGCAGTTGACAGGGCAATAATGTAGGTTAGAACACAAAATGGTGACAAGTGCATTTAAAAATCACCCAGCTTTGTGTTCTCAATATTATTGTAATTCTTATTTTAAATGTATAATTCAACTTCTTTTTAAATGCTCAAAAATAAGAAAAAAATATATTTATAATTGAATTATCTATATTTTACCATAAAAAAAAATAAAAAAGAAAAAAAATCCTTCCATGAAGATGTAGTTGTATAAGCCTAACTATTTCTCATATAACATAACACTTATTTTTTTATGATTTTTTCATTTGGGAGATGAATTAGGAGCCCATGTGAAGTTAAATAAAAGCACAATGAGAATAATTTGCTCTGATTCTTGCACTGTGATTCTCTGAAACGAATTCCAATTATCAAACAACAAATGCCACAAATAAAATTACACCCTATTAGTTTATTTCCAAGATTCAAAATCTACAAGTTAGCATGGCATATTACATCAGCATAATCTTTAATCCACTAACAAAAATCAAGACCCAAACAACAAACATTAAAATCAAGTGTGCAATAAAAACCAAACAATGACAAGTTGGTAATCTAACTTGACTATCATTGAAACAACGACAAGTAACAATGACAAGTTGGTAATCCCAGTTGTAAAACACTCCAATTGTGCTTGTTTCATGCTACCATAAAGATAATGACTATTTGATGTGGCCATAAAATTAAAAATTAAAATAACTGTAAAAATGAACATCAAAATATTTAAAAAATCACTTGCACGATCTTTCCATGTAACAACAAACAACCAAATAAACTAAAGTGTCTCTCTCTCTCTCTCTCTCTATATATATATATATATATATATATTCACACACACACACACACACACACATATATATATATATATATAGATAATTTATTTTTGAAGGTGTGGTAATTGAAAGAAACCAAGTCACATCAAGTCAAGTTATAGAGGCCAAGACATGGCCTTGGTTACGCCAAGTGGGATATGGACTTTGAACCAAACCCCCAAGTCAAAAAAATTGAGTTCTTTATTAGTGTCAAAAATTTAATTAATTAATTAACTAAATTGAGAGGGGAGATGTGACAACGCCACGTGGCCAGAGCTCTTTGGAATGTTGAGGGGATTGGCACAAGTGGGAGTTTCCTTTAAAATGTTGCCAACCTCAACCTTTCCAAATGTCCATTAAAATTGCTTGAAGGCCCTTCAACTCCACTCCCTTCTCTCCCAAATGGTAGGTGAATTTATACCAAAAAAACCCCCCTTTTTTGAATTTTATGTTGCACTGATTGTTCAATATGTTGGTGATTTCACTTCATCACCTCCTCCTATAAAAAGCAAAACCGACTTATAGGCACAAAACTTGAACCTTTTGTCATTATATGATTTGTTAAATGTGGTTTTTTTTGGACCTGTAAGTTGTGCTAAACTTTATGTTTTTTTTTTTTTTTTTTTTTTTTTTTTTAATCAAATCATTGGTTTGCAATGTTGGTATCTTTTGTTTTGACTTGGGGGACAATGAAGAATTAACTGTTCAGGAGCTTTGCTTTGTGTTATCCACAGGTGGAGAGAGAGTGTGTGTGTGTACAAGAGAGAAAGCACAAAAGATGGTTGTCAATATTCAACACAAGGTAGGTAAGTATTGCAAAAGGCCACCACCAACCCATCTCTATATTTTGTTGTACTCACCACCCCACGCATCGCCCCCTTTTCCCACTCACCCTCAGTTCCTTCTTTTTGCACACCTAAATTAATATATATATATATATATATATGTAGCTTTTCATTTAAATAATGTTATGTGCAAGGTATGTTGTGCATTATATCATTGAAACCAAAAAGTTCATATCTATTTCAAAACTTTCAAAATTGCAAATGTAAAGATCCTTGAATTTATTATGAATTTATTTAAAACATAAACATTTGCAAGTTTGGATTTTGACTATCATTTTCTTTACAGATTCTTTACCTTGATCAACTGCCTGGATGTCAACATTGTGCCATAAATATGTGTGAATATTGAAATGTATTTTATAGCATCAGCTTTTTGTGTGATGGTTTCACTCTTATTGACAAGTGTAATTTGAAATAGATAAGGTTGGTTATATGAAATTTATAAAATAAATAAATAAATAAATAAATAGAATCTTATTCTGGTTTTGACTTTTTTAAATCCAAAATATGTATTTTTGTTTAGTGTCACTAATTGACCTGGAGTTGTAGCAACATTGGTTCTAATCATGGTAATTACAATTTTGAAATAATTTAGACTTTGTATGATATTCCATATTAACTATTAAAATTTTTCAAAAACACTAAATTATTGTATTATTTTACTGCTATTTGTACACAAGGTTTTTTGTAGTCTTGTAATATAGATTACAAATTCTTATACAAAAACAAATCAAGCTTTGCATTGGAGACATGCTAGAGTCTCAACAAGATTTAAATTTATTCCACTTGCATATTTTATAATTTCATGAAATAGCTCGTCTATATGTGTAGACACATACACTCACTTAAAGGTCTTTAAGTGGACCTTAAATCAATTTAGTAATCATGGTGAATGTGGTTGGTTTTTATTGGTTTGAGATCCAATAGTGGAGAAATTAATGTAGATGTCATTTTCTTTTCATGATAGTTGGGATGGGTGGGTCAATTTAGTAAAAGCCTCAGTCTATATAACATTCCCCTCTACATACATACATATATTTCAAAGTTAGCATTCTCAACATTTATGACATATCTTGACTGAGTAAACTATGCATGGACTACTTAATTTTGAAATTGAAACAACATTAACTAATATTAATCCTTCCCTTCTCCCCTTTAATGTTTTTGTTGGTTGTTTTTGTCTCCTTTGCCTTTTTGGGTCATGCCAGCGTTCCAGGCGAACAGAGCATGGGGAGTATATTTCATTCATTTCCTGTTTTCATCCATCCATTCACATCAGATGTGTGAGGGAAGGAGGGAGAAGTGTACAAACCAAGGCCAGGCCTTTCAGGTAACCATGGAAGTGCCATGAGTCCTCCTCTGCCCCTCATTATTTCATCCATCCAAACGAGTTTCACATTTTCATCCACTTCTATTCATCCTTTCACCTCCCTTCTACCCTCCTCATTTCTTTTTGCTTATAAATTGAACTTTTCTTTTAATCTCTCTATCTTTCCTACTTCCATAAAAGACTTTCAATTGCTTTTTTGATGAGCGTTAGTTGATTGTGTAATTAAATACTTAATAATTCATAAATTCAAATAAATCATCAAAAATTACATAAATTTCCAAACTCAAATCGAAGTAAAACAACACTGAAAATTTTAAAATAAAAGGCTCCTGAAAAAACATTAATAAACAGAGAGTCAAACAATCGAAACAGGCCATTGTCTGATCTGTAATTTTAAAAAATAAGAAGTCCATTAGAATTCATTCATTCATTCAAGAACAATTCTTACTTCCTTACACAAATAATTTATGCATAGACTATGCAGTTAGAATAAACTCTTTTGTTCTAAAGCATAATATTCAAACAATCTATCTTCTTAACAAAATAAAATTAAATACACAGCCAATTATACTTGATTGAAGTATTTGTATAGTAACTTTAATTAAATTTTAAGTTAATATTCACATTTCTTCTAATAATTTTAAATATAAGTATTTTTAATCAAGAAAAAATCAATATAAACAGTACCATCATAATTTTAAAGAAAATTAATTATGTTGAAATTATAATAATTTTTTTTTCAGAATAAGTTTTTTGTGAAACAGCCATTGAAATCCTAAACAGAAAAAACTACTGACAATATTCTTGGAGGTAGTTATTAAATACTAATATTTTTGAGGTATTTTTTAACAATATATGATATGAATATAAGTGTTTGTTATTATGATAGATTTTCCAGTAAAACACCAATAAGCATACTGTTTTATAATGTGTTCATATAAAAATAAAAACAGAGTAACTACTGTGATATTTACACCAGTATTCTCTAAAATAATATATTAAAAAAATAAAAATAAAAAAACCCCAAAGTTCTACTAAAAATGATTAAAAGTTTTAATCCCATTTAAATACTTAATATTTATAATTATTTATAATAATACTATTTGAAAGTAAGTAAGATATGTCAACATAATAAATATTTAAAATTGATATTTTAAAAAAATGATATAACATTGCTGATTTTATTAGATTGCGTACAATTTTTGATTTAAAAGTTAATAAACCAAGAAATAAAATAAAATTGAAATTAAAATAAATCATGAAAATTAGTTACAAAGGGTGCTTATAATGCTACCACAATTTTTGCTATTGCCACCACATGCCATTACAATTTTTGCTAATCCCACCACAAGTTGCTCTAAACTTATGTTACACACCACAATTTACTTTATAAAACATTGCCAATGCACACCACAATGGATAAAGTGTACATTCTTTATGGATGTGTACTTTTGTGTTTCATGAACTACATTTTGGTGTGCAACATCAATTTAAGGCAACTTGTGGTGGCATTAGTAAAAAATGTGATGATATGTAGTAGATGAAAGGTTGTGGTGGCAATAGCAAAAAGTATGATGATATGTGATGGATAACAAGTTATGGTGACAATAACAAAAACTATGGTGACATTAACAATATTATAATATATATATATATATATATATATATATAGTAAGAAAGAAAATAATTAATCAACTATTGTCAGAATCAATTAACACAAATTTATGCATCTGTATTATTCCTGAAATTAACTTAATCAAATAATTCATGTGTCATCCATATTATATATATATATATATTTGCATATACAATCAAATATAATAGGTTGAAAATTCTAAAATGTAACTGGGATTGGCAGATAATTATACACTTCTACAATTGTATAAGTTGACCTATTCTTTGTAGTAAGATTGGTTTATTTACAAATAGATTATCTTTTAACACAATAGCAATTCTATCCACAAAGTTTTATATTCCTGACAAATATGAACATGATTATACATATGCATCATAAAAAATTATTAGAATGTGTCAGTTAAAGATATATTTTTTTGTATCAGATCAATTATGCATACAATATAAATCTTTTAAATATATTTATGAATAGTCAAATAAGTTATAGAATTTTTACTTGCATGTATAATGCTTATAAGTATCATTACATCTACAGTCTATTGTGATAGTTTTTGTGGTTACATTATTTTCACTTCAATCATGTGTTTCAAACATTCATGAAACACATCATTAATAGAAACACCATAATGCGCTAACAATAGGACTAAGCTTAGCCTAATTGTGGCCTAATTACACAGCTAAACAAGTCACCGAATCCAGGGGGACAAGATCAGGATCAAGGGAAAACAAAAGCATCTAATCTTTTGAGATTGGACAGAGGGAATACAATAACAGTAGAACAGAACTGAATAGAATAGAAGGATGGAGCATATTAAGTCAATCTAAAGGGGCACGATCGCAATCAGACAATTAATTAATTGATTAATTATCGGATTAAGTGAGGGGGAGTTAACGCACGGCGAGCAGGCACCGCGTAGAATCCATGATCAGCACCCCACATCCTCATCCTCATGGCACCAAGATAGGACAGTGATCGGTGCCAGGGCGCAGCACTACACACTATCTGTACTGACTCCCTCGACTGATTGCTTAGTTAATGATCTCCAGAGGGAAAGGAAAAAAAAAACCACCTATAAAAGATAAAAGATATAAACATGAAAAGCCTACAGGAGGAAGAAACACACAGCAGGAGCTTGGGCGGGGGGGGGGGGTTACTGTAGCGGCGTGCCGATGGGCGTCGTCGTTGAACGGCGGGGTGGGAAGGGATCCGACGCAGGGGATGGGACCGATGGAGGTGCAGTGATCGACGACTCACGCGGGATAGATCAGGATCGGGAAGTGTAGGGCGGTGGGAGTGTAAGGCGTGAGAGAGAGCGGGACCTGATCGATGGGTGTGGGATCAGGATGGATCGATGAATGGGTGGGAGCTAGAAAGGGGAAGGGAGGGGGGTGGGGGAAGGAAAACTGGGCTGAGTGACTGTGAATTGAATGCGCTGGTACACCAGTCCCACCTACCGGACGACCCGCGCATTAAACCCCATCGCTCCCCGCATCCCCCACCACGGGCAGGAGTTTCAAAGGGGCTTGGCTGGGACGATGGGCTAATTATTAAGGGGCGTTGGTTGTCGCCGCTTGGCACACTGCAGCAAACCTGCAGCGAGTACCAGGCTCTCCACAGTCCATACTCGGGCTCTCATGCATTCGACGTTGCCAAAAGCTGTAGCAGGTCTGGGCTACTAGGGCGCGTATTGACTGCGGAGTCTTCTCGTCTCTCTCAGACCCCCCTTTCCCACTTCCCTCCCGGTCATCGATAAGTTTCTCCCGCTCCACCAGCCCATGCTGTGGATTGTGTTTAGTTGATGCTCGTGGTCGCAGTCGGCGTGCGATCAGAAGTCGACGTTTCGCTCCTGGCTCAGAGGGTTGGTAGACGTTTAGTTCATGAGGGATTGACGATATCCGTGAAGTGAATGTTGTGCTCCATTTGGCTTGAGGTAGCTAGTCAACTCGTTAGTCGCGGTTGAATCAGCATTGACCCCCACAGACAGGGATTCATATAGTTAGTTCCGTAGAGAGCAACAGACACTGGTACAGTTCTGCAGTGGTTACTTCTCGTTTTTGAGGCACTGCAGGATGGTTGCGAGGATGGAGGTGAGGAAAATGAGGAAGGTTAGGAAGTACGACTTCCCGATAGTGGGGGAGTGCAGCTCAGGGGAGCATCGGAAGAGTGAGACTGTCATTGCGGACTTGGAGGGGGCACTTATGAGAGCAAGATCATCTTTCCCCTACTTCTTCCTGATCGCGTTTGAAGCGGGTGGGTATTTCCGGTCGCTGATGCTTCTCCTCATGGTGCCTATGATTTTGTTTCTCTACAACTTTGTAAGCGAGGCGTCGGGAATTCACCTTATGATTTTCCTTACATATGCGGGGCTGAAGGTTAAGGACATTGAGGGCGTGTCACGCGCCGTGCTCATCAAGTTCTATGCCGACGACCTCCACTCCGAGACATGGCGAGTGTTCTCCAGCTTCGGCAAACGGGTGGTGCTGACAGCGAGCCCGCGCATTATGGTGGAGCCTTTCTTGAAAGAACTGCTTGGCGTGGATGAGGTAATAGGGACGGAAATTGAGGTGAACAAGTGGGGTCGCGCCACAGGCTTCCTGAAGAAGCCCGGTGTGCTGGTCGGAGCTAAGAAAGCTGAGGCCTTGAAGCGATGGAGCATGGGAGGAGAGCGCACCCATGTAGGACTTGGAGACCAGGTTACTGGATACCCATTCATGGCTTTCTGCAAGGTGCGAATTTCTCCCTCACTTCACATTCTTTGCAGATGGCTACCTTTTTCTCCTGCCACATCATCACACCTCCATTTTTATACCCTTTGAGTTTAGAATTGTTGCGTGGGCAATTTGTTGGATTCACGAGGAAGAGATAACAGTTGGATGCCGCCCCGGAATGTAGCTTGGTTCCCATAAGTTATTATGAGCAGTAGATATGTCACCAGTGAGAAACCTAAACTTCAGAGCGAAAGAAGGTTTTCCGTGATTGAATTTGATCTAATTTTCTGTCTCATGGATCGTTCGCGTTCGTCAGCTCTCTATTCCCAGCCGCCATAGCTCGAGCCTTTTTATTATTATTATTACTAATATTTTTATTTTCTTATCAATTTCTTTTTCTATTTTAGGGGCATTCTCTGCTCAACTCATAGTAATTTTGGATCTCGAGACATCTCCTTTTCGCACCACTTTAAGATATGAGTTGTCCTTCATGAAAATACAACCCTGAAGTCGACCCAAACCGTTATTAAGATATTCAAGGCCACTATGTATTAGGTCTTACCAGCGTTAATTTAGGGGGTATCTTCGGGAGAGGGTCAAGCTCTAACTCCAGATCATATGCATCAAATGTAAATCCAGCTCCGGAAGGGCTCTTGTATCTCATATCTTTCGAAAGGCAGTATGAGACTTCAAATTTGTAATGTGCAAGATATAGAGAATTTTGATGCTGATGTTGTTCGCGGGCTGGGTCGTTTGCAGGAGGGGTATGCCGTCCCTCGAACGAAAGTTGAAGCTGTCAGAAAACAAGACCTACCAAAGCAGCTCATCTTTCACGACGGTCGGCTGGTTCAACGCCCAACGCCTCTCAATGCTCTTATTGTTCTCACATGGATGCCCCTGGGCTTCCTCCTCTCGATCTTTCGAGTCACGAGCGGCGTGTGGCTACCATTAAAATATATCCCCGTTTTGTACAAACTAACCGGTGTCAAGCTAATCATCAAGGGCAAAGTTCCCCAAGCTCCCAAGAACGGGGAATCGGGCATCCTCTATGCCTGCAATCACCGCACTCTCCTTGACCCAGTGACCGTCGCCATTGCTTTGGGCCGACCCGTTCCCGCAGTGACCTACTCCATATCCTGGATATCGGAGGTACTATCTCCCATGCCAACCATTGCCCTGTGCCGTGACCGGGAGAAAGACTCCGAAAACATGCGCAACGTCCTCAAGCAGGGTGAGTTAACCCTCTGTCCTGAAGGCACAACCTGCAGGGAGCCATTCCTGCTACGATTCTCGGCTCTTTTCGCCGAGCTGAGTGACCGGATCGTACCGGTCGCAGTCCGCACCCAGATGAACATGTTCCATGGCACCACTGCTCGCGGCAATAAGGCCATGGACCCCTTCTTCTGCCACATGAACCCGCGGCCAACTTTCGAGATCCACTTTCTGAATGAAATTCCGCGAGAGATCTCTTGCTCTGCAGGCAAATCTTCCTTTGAAGTCGCAAATTATATCCAACGGGTGCTTGCCGGAAGCCTCGGTTATGAGTGCACACATCTCACCAGGAAGGATAAGTACAGGCTGCTAGCAGGGAACGATGGGATTGTGCCGGCGAAGGAGACGAAAAAATTATGGTGATTGCGAAGCCGATCTGAGCAATTAATTACGGTTTAGTCATTTGATTTGGGAATGGTTTGGTATTATATCAATTAATTCATGTTAGATGATGGATGTGTAGATGAGGGGTTAACCCCCTGAGCATTCACGCTAGATGCCACAAGTCAATAATATTAGGATTTGTAGTGTTGGAGTACATAGCTGCTGGAGCTCAAACTGGTTCAATTAGGAATGGTACTCTGATCTAGTACATTTGTAGGAGAGAGGAAGTAATAACGTTGGGCGACTGCAGGATAACCTAGAGACTGGCGCTGAATGTCGCCAGGATTGTCGGCTGCTGAATTGCTTTGTATACTATAGCGTCTGAATTAGCGATTTGAGTTTTCCCTTTTGGGCCTCCAATTACCTTCAAATCGTCTGCTGAGTTGCGTTTGGATGAATAGAACACATGATGGCGTGTTTTCTGAACCCAGATTTGCATTCGGTGTTACACTACTGTTGCAGTTCATGTACTACCTCAGTTTGAGACATGAATTAGATGACCCAGGAATTTGTGTGCCAGTAGAGGCTTACTAAACTATAATTGCATTGGAAAGTTGATCAGCTTGTTTGCATGATCTTTTTGGGTATAGCTCACTAACCTCTTCTGTTACCCGAGTAAAATTATTCCCGAACTCAAGTCCACGCCCGAAGTTGAACCCTTGACGACCTAGTGAAGAGACGCATTCACACTTGATTCTAGTTCGTCGGTAAGTTCTTACTAATTCAAAGACACAGCATACCCTTGCAAGTTGGTTTCGCAGTATACCAAGGGAGAGTACAATCCATGTAGTAAATGTATAAGTTACTGATCTGAGACACAAAACTCATAACAAGCTCACAACTCGACAAATCAGAACAAAATGGCAAGCTCGCAAGCTCCTAGAAGGTTCTGAGACAGCTCCACAATAGGGCAGAAGAAAGAATTCCACTATGACAGGGTCTCAGATATCTTATGCTGCAATATTCTAATGCCTGGTGTCTGAGATCATGTTAAGGAATGTTAACATGATTTCTGACAACAATATATTTATTCCAGGGAAAAAGGTCTGACTGACGAAATTCTGCATGCAGGAATCTAAGTTACACATTCCATGATAAAGCCCGAGGTTGTTTGGAAAAGCAAAGGTGAATCCAAATCTACCCAGGTATCCCATCAGCTAGGTTTGAAGTATGCGTTTAGAGATATAAGAGATACAGTTCGTTCATAGTGCTGGGTGGCTTCTAAATCGGAGAGAGGAATGTGGTGTTTATTACCTAGGTTCTCATAATACCGCCTCTGCTTTGAGTATGACATTGATGTCATAAGTCGCACATCAAGACATCAATTGAAGCTCTTCTTCGCAAAGCTCCAGCCCATTGATGTATGATTAAATATTTGTATCCTGCATATAATAAAGAAAACAAAGACTTCGCTATGATAAAGTAGAGAAATTTTGAGAGGTAACGCACTTTATACATCAAGTTAATTAATTGCATAATTGGCGTCTCAAGAATAGTCAGAGACACAAGTCTTAAGAACTATTAGTGCATGAAAGAATCTAATTGAAACATGAAGCGCCTACAATACTTCTAATTTATTTGCGTACACAGAGACCGATGCCAATTCGAGAGTTCAAAATATTGAAGATGTGGACAGCCAAGAGACACTTCGAGACCGTGACTATGTAGGTGGCCGCAGAACATGTACGGCTTGTAGTGTTAACAAATTTGTGTGACTGGCCAGTTACATACTGCAGAATCAAGCCTCTCTGTTAAAAAACTGAGGAGAGGTATACGAAAGGCCTGACAGGGTGGAACTGGACTTCCCTGGACTGCGATCAAAATGCTCTACATCAGGTTATCCACACAAGATGGTACTCTATCACACGATAGCTGTGTATATGTACAACAAGACTATCAGGCAGGGATTTTTAAATAGGCTCCGAAAAAGCACGTCACTAGTATCATGTTTCCAGCGAGTACGAGCGAGTACTCGTGTGCTTGCAGAGCGACAAGATTGAAAGCAACAGCTTTGCTTCAAAGCTAATACAAACAGAATAAGTATAACAAAATTTTAGATTATGGTTAGATTTAACCTAACTAGGCTTATGACGTGATGGACGAGGGAAATGGACAAGATACATAGAAAATGTAGACTCACAATTGTCATCAGCACGTCGACCTGAAGCTCAATCGCTATTTGATTAAGAGCTTGAAATACCAGTTGCAACTTCGAAAGTCTGTTCTTCACTCCTCTAAACTCATTATGTCTAGACAAATCTGGAGTTGGCTGTTGATGGTCCGACATGCATGGGGCTACAGACTCAGAAGGAGCCAGCAAAAGCTGATGACGCCCAATTATTATGATACGTATTTATCGAACTCAGAAGGATTTCAAAGTAGCAGAAACATGGTTAAGGCCTGCTACAGAGAGGACTGGAACTTATTTGTACTGCAGAGGTTTCCTTCACAATTGGTTAAGGTCTATTGTGCTCAGGAAACGAAGGATATCAGTGGCGTGGAAAACAGCTTCTAATATCCTCTCTCCAGAATGACCCTTGGAATCGCCGATTTATCATTGCCACATGTGATCCAGTGCAGAAGCGAGCATCTCGCGACGCTTGGCTCCGCAACTTACTGAAACCGCGTTGCCCTTGAATACTTGCTCATATACGTCACGCGGTTGTCCCAGCTACCGAGAGCTACTGTGACTCTGGCTTCCAACCAGTGCGTTGAGATTTTACGCGTGCATCTTCTCAACCACAATCTACTAGTAAACCTGATTAACTTACCGGCCTACTACTACTTTGAAACCCGCTCTATATCCATGTCATACCATTTTACCAGCTGGCGCTGTCCAGGGCACTGTTGAAGATCATGAACAACCTGGGCTACGTCATCAGTGTCTAGAACTCAGGGTAAGATTGTTCTTGCTAAATCAATGTTATTCATGGTTCATTTTTTCCGTTTCAGAGTGCTCAGATCGATTCATTTCCTGGTGAGGACGTTTCACCAATACACTATCATTTACTAGACTTTTTAGACAGCATCCAATATTCTGCAAACTAGTGTCTACTGGGGTGTGAGCTTTCGTCTATCCTTCAAATCACTGGATAGTTATTGAGACAGCGGAAGCCTCGCGATTTTGTTAGCAGAATTCAGTCAAGTGCATTTGCATGAACTTGGCTAGAGATCGACCATGAGTCAAGCAGCTTTAAACATATCAGGGAAGTTGCTAGATGAGATCGACTTGTCCAGTTGCATACAGGTCTATGATGCATAAGACGGTATATCATGGTCTCCACACATCTAATGCTCAAGGCTCTGCGAATTAGCATTTTATCATTCTCTTGCTTCGACGCAACGATTTCTCTTAAACATCCCATCGCCCCCCATTTCCTTGCTTTTGATTACATTAGTGCTCATTTATAAGTGTTCATTGGCATAAAAATCCCCTTCATGACGCACAAACCTTAGAAAGAGTATCAACATATAGTTCCGGTGAATGCAGGGCAGTCAGAACGTGCTTGGCAATCAGTCTGGCGCTTCTACAATACTAGATGAACCTCTTAATTTTCCGGTTCAGAGCTCATGTTTACGATGTTAGTGCATGATTTCGAACGCATGCATCTCCATGCCTCATGCACCAGAATTTTACGTTTGTTTTGGCTGATCTTAAGTTGAGTTCTAAAGAAGAAAGATGGAGAAGTGACATGAAACATCCTATGAAAGATATGATTGTATCGATTGAGACTTGAATAAACATCCGGAAATGCAATTATTGTACTTAATGAGTTGCATGCCGTATGATATTGTAGCGGCTGAGAGAGACGTCCACTTAGAAGTGACCAAACAAAAGGGATCATGACCAAGCTGCTAATGGCTCTAAACGGCACAAACGTGCACATCAAATGTTTCGGAATCTTCTTGACGAACTGAGTGTGAAAATTGAAAGGAATGGAGCCAGCAAGGAAATCTGAAACATCGTGCGAGTAGATTCCTTGTTATAATAAACACAGGTGAATAAGACGCAGTTAAAGGTGGCGCAGACAGACTCCGTGCTACGACCAGGGCCAGTTAAACATACAAAGAAAATGAAGATGTATTAGCATTGCTGTATCCAAAGTTGAACCTACGAAGCAACAGCCACAAACCTGTGTCTATGTTACAAAAGCGAAAGATTGCAGAAGCAGATCCAGTTTCCCTCACGGAAACTGCACACCAAAGAATACAGCCTATCGAGTCATTGAAAATCAGCACTGGACACTTATCGACATGTCCAATTGCATAAATCTAGTAAGGCTCTAAACAGTTAGGCTTCTATAAAGGGACCTTGACTTTATCCCTGATTAAACTAATCACTAGTTAGAAACTTAATGTTTTACTTGAAATGTTCATACTAGGCATCAGTCCTATCTCCTCAAACTCGTAATACCTAAAAAAACCTGCATGTCAATGTCCTCAGTCCTGATTGTTCTACACATGTTCGAAATGTCCATCTGATCCAAGCTCACTGAGTAAAGCTCCTCAAAACCCCCAACAACGCACAACCGTCGCGATTTGGCGTGATTCTGAGGAACAATCGTTGCAGTTGCAGTGATGCTGCGACCAATGAAACCAGTGGTGGCTCAGCTTCCACCATGTTTAGTAAGCAACCCTGGCAGTCGAGAGACGCCGTTCCATCCTACTGTGTTACTCTAAATTACAATCACTAATATCTTCCAGCTGCAGAAATGTCCTCTAACGTAAAATAGTGAGTACAATTTTGTGTATGGTTTTTGTTAGATGAAGGTATCGAACTTGGTCGAAAGGAAAGTGTGATACTACATTTTTTAGATCAGTTGTTTGTCAAGGTGAGGTAAACTACTGCACTTCTAAGCTCGTGTTTGGGAACTCCATGGTGACCACCTGTAGCTCGTCTTAGTTCGGCCTCCGAAGCAACAGTCAAGTTAAGTAAGTTGCTACCACGCCTACGAATGGCCATTGCGTATTGATCTGGTGTGCCAAAGGCGCGGTCTACATCTTGTAGTAGGTTATGGTCACCGCAAGGAGTGGGTATGAAGGAGCTTCCAGCACCGGCAATTCCATAATGTCCACGCTGTTGCTCAGATTGCTCCTTCAGCTTCACTTGTCCGAGTAGCACGGATTGTTGCACCAAAGACTCCCCTGGGATGTACCTGTTTGAAGCCCCCAAGTGTGCATCTGTGAGACAGGTGAATGCTTTGATATCATTGATGTAATGTTCAACTTGGGTGATCCCGAGTAAGTGTGAGAAGGTCACTTAGACTCGTCTCTGTACAATGGAACATGAGACCAATATTAGTACGTCAGATTAAGTTAGTCTCTCCTCCACACCGCTGCTGACTGTCCCCTTGGCCAGTTTTATCACCTTATTCTTTGTTTTTTTCCTAAACTATTCTGAAAATACATTTCAACGATGTAAGCTCGGGTCACCAGAGTCCCAAACACATCTCATTCCAGCAAGTTGGTAACTGGCTTCGTCAGTGTACTTAATAGCCCAAATGTTGATGCTTTAAGAATCTTGAAGCACTTTAAAACTGGTAATCCACTGCTTATTGCGCTGAATAACTGAACACAAGAGTCGTCCCTGAGACCCGATTACCTGACCAATCCACAGATCGAACTGACTACCACTCCAACACTGATGTGGTAACTACTTGCTCCTCATTCACTATCCCGATCATCCAAATAATCATACTCTCTCATAGACGCCAACTACACCAATAATAGCGAACAACCGTCCAAGATAAATAACCCGAAAACTCTCATGTTTAGCAAGTGCCTCAATCGATTCCAAAGCATTGCCATGGCAATCTCTCTGGAGCTACAAGTTGGCTAGAGTGTGTCAGACAGATTGTCCGTGTCTTCGTTATCAGCCACGGGACTGTGTATACACACTGGAGATTGAATTGTTATTCTGCAAAGCAATGCCTAGAATTCTTAAAAGCTGTCACCTACTCGATCTAGTTTAGTTTCTTCCTGATAAGAAACTGAATCACATTCGCTGATTTAGAGGTTTCTGGGAAGCAAGATCTTAGTTTTTGCAGAGTACGCGGATTTACACAGCTATCGATGTCTTCTCGTACCAGTATCAGAACTCTAAAAGAATAGAATTCAAAGATAATAGAAGGTAAACCTCTGTGCAACGTTTGTCTTCGTGATGAATTATTGCCTATTGAGTAAATTCTCCGCATCTGTCAGAGTAAGAAAAGTGCGTGAGGTCACTAGAGTCTGGCCTACGATATCTGTACCTGCCCACGTCAAATCTTGTAGTGAGCGCTGAACCAGGTTTGAGCTGTTCAAAGCCGTCATTTCTTAAGTACTGGTCCGGCTCGAAGGATGAACCAGGAAGCGGGTTGCTCTTCACAAAATCCGAACTGAGCTGGTTCAATTCATTGAACTGCTGAAGTTGGTGCATTAGGACATTGTTGTCGTGCCCAGAGCTGACATTGACGACTGTCGTGTTTCCCCCTAACGAGCCCACAATTTGTTGTATTTGTGCCTGCTCCACGAACACTCACTTCCATTAATCAGTCTCTTTAGCAACCCTGGGTTCGATATACAAAAGTCTCACACTAGATGCAATGTGTGCTCTCAAGGTTAAAAACTCAAACTAGGAGCTCAATCACAGAGCTGTGATTGCTATCGACCAAAACCTCCCTCAGTTGATCCCAATGGCTTTGCCATCTCCACAAGATTACCTGCTGGTTGAAATTATGGTGCTGCTGGAGCAAGTATAGCTGCTCTCGGGCCACAGCGAGCTCGTCCTTTAGCTTCGAAACCTGGTTTTGTAAAATTGTGATAACACCCAGACAGCCATGAACGGGGTCCTTTTCCCTCGTGTCAGCCTCGTAAGCTATAGATTTGACAGTGTCTTCGCGCTTGCTAGGATCGACGTGCTTGAGGATGCGGAGAATGTTGGAGACGCCGAAGAGTTTGTGCACGTTCTGAAACCGTTTGGGTTGGTCAGGTGGAAAGTAGGGTGACAATGGGCAGTCTGGGGTGCACCTCCTGCGCTGGTACTTGCAGGCGGCACATGCAGTGTTCGTGCCGCCAGAGCTTGACGACCCTGTCATGTCGATGTAATTCTCGCCCTTGGCGGCAACGTGCGTCGAATTTATCACCGACACGAAGGACTTCTACCTTCCGGACTCCAGATAAAAATATGATGAAATACCAATTCGGCCACCAACCTGCGTCATTATATGGCTCATCGCAATGTTCTCCCACACTCGGCTGAAGGAAAAGGAGGAAAAGAGGGGGGGAAAAGGGACAAAAGCGAGAGAAAAAAAAAAAAAAAAAAAAAAAAAAACCCACCAACAACAAAAACAAGAACTATAAAAAAACAAAGAAAGAAAAACGGGAGAGGGAGGGTGAGAGAAAATAAAAAAAAGAAAAAAAGAGCGGCAAGGATATACAAGAAAAGAAGAGAAAACCAAAACTAAAATCTGAATCTAAACTTCGGCATCCGCTTCACTTAGAAGCCACCAAAACCTCAACCTCAACCTCAACCTACCGCCGCTCTGCGATGACCACCTCCTACTGCTGGCGCTGGTGGACCCGCGTCGTCCTGATCTACCTATCTCCGGCTCAAGCTTGTGCAAAAGCCCACCTCAGCCAGGTCATTGCGACGTCTGCAGCTTCTCCAAAAATCCATTGTAAAAATTAAAACACAGATTACTGTAATTCCTCTTGAGTCATGCCGTGATGATCATCCCTACAAACCAACCACTGATAACTCGTCACATATCCAATTCTCAGACAGCCTCTAGCACCCAGTCTAAGTCGAAACGCGATACGTTTACTGCTACTGAGATCGTACACAGGAGATGAGAGCGGCGAGCTAGATCGCGAGTAACCCGAGCGCTTGGACGCGAGAGTAAGCAAGTGCAGATTGGAGAGCGGGCGAAGATTAGGGGCAGGCTGGAGAGGGGTGGGGTTGCGGCCTTTAGGGCTGCCACGAAGAATGAGATGCTGCACACGCCCCCGCCCTCCAGGTTCTTTGACCCTGGCCCACAGCTACATACCAGGAAGCTTCAGAACGTCAAGTCCTCCCTAGAAGTTAGCAGACTGTCGTGGTAAGTGAGAAAAATCCAAGCTGAAGCTCTTGAATTAAACAAGCAATATATGCATCGCATTGCAATTTTTTTGATATATGATGAGACCTGAAGCAAATGTGATCTTTGATTCTGAAGTTGGTGTGGTGCATCCCAACTGCCGTTAAGAGATCTCTGAGTCGAACGACTGCGTAAACATGCCAGCGGGAATCGCCAGAACACTCGGATTTTCTGCTGTTAAGATATATTGGCATGGAAGTCTCCCTTGTTTTACCCCATTGAGTTGAATTAAGTTAAATCGATTGTCGCTTATTAGTGTAGCATTGTTTTCGCGGGAGCAGGTCACGTTAAGTTATTTTGATTTTGATTTTGATTTTTTTTCTGATTGCGGGAATGTCGAGTTGGCAAAGACTGATGTATTTCTATTCAATCCAACAAATAGAAATCATCTTATTTCAAAATAAAATAGAAAAAAATCAGTTCAAGCTTTTATTTTTATAGTATATTATATACAGAGCTCAAGCACTCACACACTTCTGACATCAGATGATAGGTCTTTCAAATTATCAGACGGAACCCAGAGATAAAGTTATTGATTCCTATATTTTGGTCCTAACTCCTCAATGCACACGCTTTCGTACATGAGTGTCCTTCGGATGAGGAGAATGGCCAATGTCAGAAGCTAAAAGGAAATCAGACGTCTTTTTGGAATTGAGCACCTACTCAGCATTTAATTAGGTTTTCAGACTCTACCACCCCAGAGAGGATGACGGCGGTCGAAATGCTTCTACAGATGGTAAAATCGCAGTGACCCAGATAAGCCATACGTTTACAGTTCTAGTACTCAAAGTACTACATTCGCACGTACAAGTTGATCGAGTACGGTGTCACTACTCCAGCGGTGAAGTGCAGTACATCGACCACTGGGGAAATCGCCGCAGCTCAGACGCCTTCGTTTACTCCCTTCATGTCTACCCCCATCAACAGCGTCGCTCATCAGGTCCGCCTTGATGTGAGCACATGCGTAGTTCAGAGCTTTGCATCAGCAAGCTAGACCAACTTCTTCCCCTCTCGGAGCTAAAAATAAGTTATGCTGAAGGGGGGCTGCATCCTCTACCACGTAGTGAGGTTTCTGAGCTGCCGTACCCTCCAGTTTTGGCTTCCACCCTGTGATGCCAATGTGCTTTCGACCGCATGCACCGTCCCGCCTTCCAGCGGGCACTAGATGCAGCTACCGTAATCGTCAAGGGTGGAAAGCTTCCTGCGTTAGTATTGTAGAGTTTGTAATGAGAATGCTAGATGAAAGTATTGGTACTGTTGTTGTTATGATTATGATTATAATTACTCTGTGCGAATTATTATACTGGTGTGTGGGTTCATACATGTTAAAACAAATGTTTGAAAATGGTGTAAAACACTAAAGGTGTTCACTATTCGATTCACAGAAGAATTTGGCCCTCAACATGAATGACATATTAAAATTTGATAGAAGCAGAACAGAATAAATTCATTGCAGTGTGTGTACAAATATATATAGATATAGATATAGATATAGACATGTTTTTTGTAGAAAAAAGAAAAGAAGTATAAATATGAGGAATTGTTACTTTATAAGCCTATCCACTGCAGATATCATTAGTCGCAAAGATTCACCTAAAATCCAAAAACTCTACCAGGGTAGCCTAGTTGTGTAACCCAAATCTATCTATCTATATATATTTATATATTTGTATATATATATTTGGCTATAGTTACAGTTATACTTAATAACGTAGGATTTTCTCTCCATGGTCTCTTTCTTAGTCAAATTGGAGAACAAATTTCACCCCAAATGATCTACACATTAAAAAAAATAAAAAAAATAAAAATAAAATCGTGATTTATGAGTGACGAATGTATGTATGTATGTATACACATGTCTACCAATGTAATGTACAATTTTCGATTAAATAAAACCGTGTCGGTTAGATGAATTATTTGCTTTACAAGGAAAGAACAGTACTGAAGTCATGATTAGCTGCGATTGCTTTCCTTCTTCACGGTGGGTTTATAATGAAACAGCTACAACAAAGGATTAAAAACACGATGTATGATATATAGCTGAGGTGAGGGATCATTTTTATCTTCCTGATTTTGGAAAGTTGCCATCCTAGCGTGAAATTATTCTTTGTAGGTTGTGTGTGGAGAGCAGAGGGATATGATTCGAAGCGCTGGATATAATTTTAAGCACGTGGAGAAAAGGGAAAGAGCAGATCGGAAACAGAATAATCTCTCATTGTTTTTGTGGCGTGATCGTCAGCGCGTCCATTCCTTCCAAGGCACAAGCCCTTTCGCTTTTTCAGGGATCGGAAACTGAAGACCAACCTCAATTAAGGCAGATTTTTTTCCCCATTCAAATAGTCAGGCAGGACTCCAAATACTGGGAGCACTAGATCATCCTTTGACAGAAGCGTGAATACGTCGAGAATCTCGCAGAGCAGATCCATCACCACTATCACTAGGACTTAAATTTACACAAAATGTCGTATCCTCATACCGGGAAGTACATCGACGATAAAACAATCCATACGAGCACAAACTACTTGTACACTGATAGACGCTGACTCGTTGAGTAGAACATATATATATATATATATATATATATAATTGTGAGTGTGTGTGTATGTCTGTCTCAAATGAAAAATACATGTCGCATCAAGAGCATAAGGTAGGCAAAATATAGACCCAAAACTGTGGCAATGCCTCCGAAGTGCCAAATGAGGAGGCAGGGGCAGGAGAATCCACTCTTTTTTAGGGGCTCGATGGTGTTTTAAAGAAGCTGCAGATGCACGAGAGGAATATCTATTTCTGTCCCACCAAAAAGAAGGACACTCTTTATTAGATCCGGTGGGGAGCTTATTAAAGCGCAAGGGCCGCACTGATATCAAGCAACAGGGTGTCATAATTTGTACCCACACGAAAAGGCTTCCAGAACCCCCAACGCTGGTAAAATTAAGCCGAGCACCCAATTTGCTCAACATCGGTCTTATCATGGTGGTGATGTATTAATAGCGAAACAGCAGGACAGCAGGGCCCCTTTGACGACACAGAAACAAAACCAGGAATCAGGCGCGGATCATCACCGCCATCCGTCGAGCCTTGTCTGTCTGTACGCATCCCCGGCCCTCGCTACCACCCATCAGTCCAGCCACCAGCGATACTGGCCGTGATCCCACCCACATACCGTCCTCGCCTGGACCTGGACCTGGACCTGCAGCAGCGATGTCCGAGTCGTGGCAGTGGCGCAACGCAACAAGGCGCCGATGCTGCTGCTGGCGCCACTTTGCTGGTGTGGATACACCTCATCATTCTAGTTACAACCTCTCGCAACATGGCCCCAGAATCTGCAACAAAACAGAACCCGAATCAAAATACCCGAGGATGATTATGATGCTGATCAAGATGGTGGTTTTGTGATTAAGTTGAACAGGTCGATGGGTGGATGTTTTGTTGAGATAAAAACTAAAACTTTACTGTTTCAGTACCACACCACGTGGACTCGTCGTTTTTTATTCGTTTCCATCCCCTTCATCAGGATTGATAAATGCATGGCTTTACATCTCTTCATTGATTGTGCACCTGAAGAGGAGGAAGTTGAAAAATATGGCAATTATAGGCATGACAGATTTTACTTCACGAGTGAAAAAAGTGTGTGAAGAGAACTGCTAGCATGTTGCTTTTTCCATTCCTACGTCATCTAGGTTGCATGCAATATAGAACTTCACAGTACTATATATATATATATATATATATATATATGTATGTATGTGTGTATACATATACAAGGTGTAAATACTTTTTCAGAAATAGAAGGCTTTTGAGCAACTACTTTTCCATGCAAAAGGCTATTTAACATGTTAATAATTATAGAGAGGTTGAATTTTGAAGGTTTTATTTTTATTTTTTGAACACGGGTGGACCCTTTTGCAAAAGATTTTATTATTCCTAGCATGTTTACCTAGATGTTTGGATAGGAGATTAGGACATTGGAAGAGAGGATTGTAGTTTCTACAATATTTTTGGCAGACTTCATTTTAAGCAAATTTCTTTTACAGACAATGAAAAAGTGTGCTTAAATTTTTTAGCATATTATAGTTAATCCAAGTTTTAGAAATTATATATATACAAGTATGTGTGTATATATTTTTATATTTTTATATTTATTTTTTACATGTATTTTTGATAATATATATAATTTAATGATATTTCACTATATTTATAAAAATTTATAATTTATTGTATTTTTTTTTATAGTTTTGAATAAATATAAATCACATGTCTAAATATCATGTAATTTTTTATTGATATATAATCTATATATAGTTTATATATTCTGAAAATTAATAGATATAATTTTTTATATATAGTAGAATTTTAATAAAATCTTATCAAAGATATATGGCTTAGATTCAAATTTGATACATTCTTTTAATACATTAACTTAAAATTGAATCTGCATAATGGATCACAATTTTGTTTCTAAATCTTTTAGATATTCAAGCATTACAATACCTATTTTTTTCCATAATACTTTCTAATTTCAATAAAACCATAAACATATAATTTTATTATATTTTATAATTTAATCTAATTTAAAATAATATTTATTTTTTGGAGAATTTTTTTTTGAATACCTTATTTTTTAATAATAAATAATCATCGTCATAAATAAGAAATAAAGGCTATATTTAAATTTTGAATTGGTTTAAAAAAAATAGAATGTAATATTCTACTTGTTTGTAGATTTTGTATTAAGGACATGAATGTTGAAGAAAGAAAGCTTCAATACACTCTTGGTCACTCAAAAGAACTAGAAAATCACTCAAAGTTAATATAATATTAGACTAGAATAGCTATTACCAAAGACAAAAAGACTTGAAAGTCTTGAAATTAGACTAAGGATTAGAAAGACATTGGCAA